TTGGTTTTTCTTCCTAAACATCTCTTGCAACTTCCAAATGGATAACATGGGACTGGTCCACCCATGAGGCAAAGTGAGAGGACCGCCTCAGGTGGTAGCATCTGTGGGATGTGAAACACAAGAGCAGTCAAGTACAACATTCCTAGAGTGAACATGTTTACACATAGGGAGGAATGTTTGTCCAGCCAGCAGGTAAACTTCCTGTTTCCTTCTGGGGACAGACTTCCTCTGCATGTGACTAGAGGTGGGCATGGCCTCACCTGTGCAGGTAATGACAAAAGCACAGGGCAGGGCAGCCATCTCTCTCTCTCTCTGACTACTTTCATCGAAGAAGAAACATCTGCTCAGCCAAAGATGCTCTCTTGGCTTCCAGACAAGAGAGGACAAAGGGACTGTCTCTTTATGAGATAGTTTCCAAGTGTATGTTACTTTTCTAAGATAAGTCTGCCTTCTGGCAGACTGTGAACAGAATGTGAGTGAGTAAACTCTTTTTATACTTTTATAGAAGACTGTGTCATGTCTTATCTTTTCTGAGGGAATAAGGGGGAAATACCAGAACAGTTATTATAGAGGCTTTAGCGAGCCTGAGCAAAAGCATCTGCTGTGAGTTTAAAAAGGGGAATGTTACTTTGCTAAATTGTGAACTTGTTTACCCAAGTTGGAAAGGCTGTAATCAAACAATATATCCTCTCCTGCATCCCTGACCATTCCCACAGCATCTACCGAAGCAGCATAGCCAGCCTCCGAGGAATGCACTGCCCAGTGCTGCTGCCGCAGTGGCAATGACAGCTGTGCCACACTCCTCAGAGGCTGGATCTGCTTCCTTCTTTGCAGCCCATCCCACAATGCTGCCTTGATAGCAGCCTCTTTGTGAATAGGAGTCATTGTGGGTCTCCTCCCCCCCCCGTTCCCAGTGGAGACCTTTATCCCCCCCCCTTGTTGCTGATGTGGATCTTCACACATTCCTTTTCCCCTGGCAGGAGGCGGCCGCCATTTTGTGTCAAAATGTATTGAGCTGGCCCTGAAATACCATACTGGGCGGAGGCAAAGGATGAGCTTCTTTCCGACGCAGAAGTGACTCTCCTGGAGTTGGAAGAAATAGTCAATATTCACTTCGGCATTCATTCCTTCTCGGTAACTCCCTCTACAGGTTACCAGAGTGGTATATGAAGCAATAATAATAATAATAATAATAATAATAATAATAATAATAATAATTTATTATTTATACCCCGCCCATCTGGCTGGGTTTCCCCAGCCACTCAGGGCAGCTTCCAACAGAACACTAAAATACAATAACCTATTAAACATTAAAAGCTTCCCTAAACAGGGCTGCCTTCAGATGTCTTCTAAAAGTCTGGTAGTTGTTTTTCTCTTTGACATCTGGTGAGAGGGCGTTCCACAGGGTCGGCGCCACTACCGAGAAGGCCCTCTGCCTGGTTCCCTGTAGCTTTGCTTCTCGTAGCAAGGGAACCACCAGATGGAGCTACAGAAACCTATGGCCCTAGCCATTCTGTCTGAATATTTAAGTATTGAGTTTATGGAGAAATTCCCTCCTTGCAGGCGAAGTGGGAAAGGAATAATCATACACAAAAAAAACTCTCCCCCCCCCATCAGATTTGCATCGAAAATTATGCAATGTAAAATATCAAGGCAATCGTGATTTGCACCAATTCAAAATGTATTTAGTTGGACCTTTTTGTCAAAGATGCCACAGAGAACCCAGACGTGACATACCTCTTGAAATACTTTCTGCCGCCGTCAGAGGAGACTCAGGTGTGGTGGAGTCAAAGGAAAACAAAGTCAGTGCTCAAATGACAAGGGGCCCCATCCTGTGGACTGCTGGAGAAAAGGTAATACAGCTACAAGCAGCTATTCCTCCCCCTTTAAAAATGTAAGATTGTTAAAGTGTTTTGTTTTATCCCAATATAAATTACGCAGAGAACTTTTAAAAATAAGAAATGCAACAAAACACACTTGGAAGGCTCTGCATTAATCAGCAGGCCACATCAGGCTTATGAGGATTTTAAGGGTCACATATTAACAAATAATAATAATAATAATAATAATAATAATAATAATAATAATACCCTGCCCATCTGGCTGGGTTTCCCCAGCCACTCTGGGCGGCTTCCAGCAAAATATCAAAATACAATAATTCATCAAATATTAAAAGTTTCCCTAAACAGGGCTGCCTTCAGATGTCTTCTAAAAGTCTGATAGTTGTTTATTTCCTTGACTTCTGAAGGGAGAGCATTCCACAGGGCAGGCGCCACCACTGAGAAGGCCCTCTGCCTGGTTGCCTGTAACGTCGCTTCTCGCAGTGAGGGAACCTGTATGAAGCTTTCTTCAATTGTATCAAACCATTCGTTATGTTTCCCAGGATTGTCTGCAGCTGACAGCAATTCGCTCTTTTCCCATTCCAGCTACCTGAGATCCTTTGTGGTACCTTATTCGCACGAAGTGTGTGCTCTACCAAGGTGCTACACAAACCCTTTTCTAAACACTTTCATAGCTTGCTCCAAGATTCTCCATACAGAATGCAAAGTCAGCCCCAAATAGCATCACTTAGATTGCCAAGTCACTTTGGGTAGATGTACCTCTTGGTTAGAAAACAGCATTAAATTGTTTGCAATCTGTCTCCAGTCGACATTTCAGTATTAAGATTCCCCATCCCCACTTCGTTTATCTTGATTGAAAACATTCATAAATCAAACTACTTCTGACTGGTATAGCAGTTAAGCAAGAGTTTTGCATTTTAAAAATGTTCTGGAAGGCTGCATAAAAACTTAGAGGAGTCGAAAATGATTGAAGGCAGCATAACCTGTCGATGACAGCACAACATCGCCCCCCTTCAGAAAGGATAATATATGGCTTGCTTAGCTAACAGTGTTGTAGTCCCACAGGCACAGCAGTTTCAAAGTGCCTGGGATTTGATACTTGCTAGCCAACCTAATTTGTTAGAAGCCGCCCAGAGGGGTTTGGGTAACCCAGTCAGATGGGAGGCATATAAATAATAAATTTCTATTATTATAACTTAAAACTGGGGCACATTTTGGTGTGTGGGTGTTGTGCGCGCGTGCGCACGCCTGGAACTCAGTTCAGTTGTGAAATTTCATGTAAACATTTCTGTCTTGTTTTAATCATCATTATGTGGAATGTATTCAAAGCACACAAACTAACGAACTAATTGCAAAGGAAGTAATTGCAAGATACTTCCTTGGTCATTCCTACAACCACAGGATTAAATGCAGCCTCGTTTTAAGCACACAATTAGTGCCCTTCACACACTTACACAATTGCACGAGAGCCATTTCTCCACGCTTCCACCTCACATCACTACAGTATATATGTGAAAGGTACATCACATCTCTTCCCCACATGAACATTGCCCTAATGAGACAGATTTTAATGATGAGGTGCAAGAGACGCATACAATGAGCCCAATAGTTCGCAAACTGGAGCAGTCTCTTCCAGGTTTGCGGCGTTCAGGAGCCAAAATGTTTGAGAACTAAGCTGTTCAAAAACTAAGGTATGACACTCTCTCTCTCTCTCTCTCTCTCTCTTCTCTGTGTGTGTGTGTGTGTGTGTGTGCCCTAAGCATTTCTGTTAGGGATTATAGGGGTAGAAATACCTCCCTCCAAAATGTCAAAGTTTTTTATGTATGTAGCAGCAGCAGCTAGGATTCTATATGCACAGAAACAGAAGGAAGAAGAAGCTCCAACCACAGAAGAATGGATAAGTAAGATAATGGAATCTGCAGAACTGGCAAAATTAAGAGAATCTAATGATGAATGTTTTATGGAAGAAAGGATGCCCTTTTCAGACTATTTAGAGAAATATCGTAGTATGATGAACATGCAAGCAGGATTTGAGCTATGAGCAACAGAAGTACTGAGACTATACCACAGTGGTACCTCGAGTTACAAACGCCTCAGGTTACAAACACTTCAGGTTACAAATGCTTCAGGTTACAAATGCCTCAGGTTACCAACTCCGCTAACCTGGAAGTGTTACCTCAAGTTGAGAACTTTGCCCCAGGATGAGAACGGAAATTGTGTGCTGGCGGCGCAGCAGCAGCAAGAGGCCCCATTAGTGAAAGCACACCTCTAGTTAAGAATAGTTTTAGGTTAAGAACGGACCTCCGGAACAAATTAAGTTCATAACTAGAGGTACTACCACATTATGGTTATGATTTGAGAGATAGAAGATAGTTAGCATCAGAACGGGAGAAACAACAACGCCATGGAAAAAAGGGAAGTCGACAAAAATAAGAGAAAAGATGAAATTGTGTTTTGACTGTATATGCTAAAAATATTGAAACTTAATAAAACAGAATTGGATGAAGCTGCTGATATTGACTTGTGAAGACTTAACAGCTTGGGACTGAGCTCCCTTACCTCCCATAGTATCTTGATGCCTGCATCTTGGGTTAGCCAAAGACCTTTTCCTCTGTTACTTCCTTGTCAAAGGTGAAGCAGGCAACAATCAGAGACAGGGCTTTTTTGGTGGTGGCACCCCATTTATAGAAAGCCCTTCCTAGGGAGCCTCAAGTGACCAGCACTTGTTTTAGTTTGGTTTTTTCCAAGCACCAGGCAAAACCACCAGGCTGTTACATGTTGGGCATTTGCCAATGGTTCTGTTTTATGTAGCGGTTGTTTTATTCTGTGTTCTTATCGCCATGGCATTTTTAACGACGAAAACTACATCGGAGCCAATTTTGGCAAAAGGTGATGCATAAGTATTTCGAAAAAACGAATAAAATAATGATTCTGGGAGGGTAAGGAAACTGGGGTGGGTGGGTTGTTAGCTGTTGCTATAGCTAGACAATTGGAAGTCGGAAACAGGTGTTGATCTCATGCAAATCCCCCAGATTTTTACTAGAGTTCTCCCAAGCCCCCTCTCCAAGCCCCCCTGCCCTGACCTACAGAATGCGATTGTGCTGGCACAACAAGAGAAACAGCAAATCAATGATATGTGGGGGAAAGCACACACACTCATTCACTAGTCAATCCGCATTTTTATTTGAAATAACAATGCTCTCCATGGTATAAGTTTATACATTAAAAGCAGGAGAATTGCCGTCGTTTCACATGGTCCAATACTGAAGCGGCACGTCCAAAGCAGTGCGGGAGGAAGAGTCTGTACATATAGAAATATATATGTACGTAGATAGATAAATAGAACTCTGGGCAACTCAAATTAAAACAAACTCTTACAGCAGTTACCAAAAATAGGAACAGTGAATCAGCTAGAGACATCACTATGCACACACAAAATGTAGGACGCGGAACGGGATATATATATATATATATATATATATATATATATATATATATGACTCTGGAGAGGAAAAATCAACTTGAATGTTTTTGCATATATAGCCACATGTCGCTTTAATTGCTCAGCACAAAGATTCTTCTGTTTTCTTTTGTTTAGTCCTCACTGAGGGCAGAATATACACAAATGATGTTCGAAGAACACAAGGTAGATGAAAATAAAAATTACATAACGTGAGTTGCTTTTCATTATTATTTTTCAGTGAAGATGTAGAATAATATTGGGGTTGTTGTTTTTCTGTGCCTAGACTTTACACAAAGTGAAAACAGTTGTGTTTGTTTGTTTCTTTAGGTTTTTCTTCTAGCATCATCTATTTGCTGCTGGCATTAGGTTGATGTTGTTGTTGTTATGTCCAACATTTCTGAGGAAAGCCACATTGGCTTGTGGCGCTTTACTTTCCTGGCCTGGCCTTTGGATGGTTTCAAAAGGTAACCTGGATACTGCACAGGCCTCTATTTAACTATTGCGTATATAAAAGCTGGTTCTACGCCAACAGCAGGTATAGAATAGTGGCGATTCATCTGCGGAGAAACTGAAATATACGCTATGCTGTTTCTCCAAGGACAGGACTCTGTCTTTCCCCTCCCCCTTTATTTTTTTCCTTTTTAAGAGAAGAACGACATGAGAAGCTGGTTAGCGATATTAGGCCCGCATAAACCGCAACATTTGGGAAGGGAAAGATGGAACAATCAGGGGCGCTACCCAGCTCCCCGCTTTCGATGGGAGAACTAAAATGGCAGTAGACTGGTGACAGGCTTTTCTTCCCAGCTAACTCAACTGCATCCCCCATTCCCAACACTATGACTGACTCAAATCGCCTACTGCCACTTTCTCCCCCCATCATTCTGCAGACATTGCTCTGTGGCAACCGTGCGTGTGTGAACGTGAAAATCCCACGTGCCTGGGCACACAGCCTGGAGAAGATAACACGCATCACCACGATGTAGCATGACAACACGAAAACCAAGGATTGTCTGTGGGGGCCCAATGACTGGTTTTTTGTTTTTGTTTTAAGAAAAAAACACCACTGCAGCTTGTATTTGTGATGTGGAGTAAGCAGCCATATTATGTATTCATTGCTTTGTTTTTAAAAAGCAGTGGTGTCGACACATGACCTGTTTTATTTATTTCTCAAGGGAGAGGGGGAGATTAAGACACGGTGACTCGGCCCTCCTAATGAGGCAAAGCGACGAGAATATCCACGTAATTAATAGGGAAAAAGCCCGACTGGCCATGAAGCATCCCTTCATACCAGTTTTCGTCAATCTGGTTAGTGAGGGTAATGATATCACCCTCTTTAAAACCCAGCTCCCCTTCGTTTTCAGGATCGAAGTCATACAGAGCTCGACAGCACGGCTGGTCCATGGGAACATCTGCAGAGGAAGCGGAGGGAAGAGAGGGGAACAGAAACAAAGGCGCTTAGAGACAGAGAAAGAAATCAATACTGGCAGAAGTCAGGGGTAGGCAACGTGGTGCCCTCCAGCCCTCATCAGCCCCAGACAGCATGGCAAGGGATGGTGGGCACTGTAGGCAATGACAACTGGGGGGAACCAGGTACCCCACACATGGCAAAAATAAATAAATCTGGTCCAGCATAAAAAAAAATGCTGGACCAGATGGGCCCTTGGACTGGCTGAGGAGAGTAGTCATACTAGCTGATAAATGTCTGGTTATAGCACAGGTTTGGGACATGGGAGGACACATCCCCTCCATATCCCTGTGCTGCCATCCCAATTTGGCTGCTATTTACACATGCATACACAATTTGCACAACTTTTTTTTATTCTCGAGTATGGACCTTGTGCAACTTTCGACTCCCTAGGCTGAACGCAGCCCAGGAATGATGCTCGGAAACCCATGGAGAGTTCAACAAACCTCAGTAAAAGGACAGGTGTCCACAATGCCATCAGAGACTTCTGCTCACCTTCAAAACCCTCATTGACGGAACACATGGCCAAGGACATCGTGGCTGCTGGCAACACGCTTGACTCCCCTACATTCAGTGGGGTGGACACATGTAGTTTTTCTAAGCATGACCAGGAAACCTGAGAGCCCAGGGTTCCCAGTGTGTGGAAGCATTTGTGCCAGGAGTAAGGTAAAGGTAAAGGGACCCCTGACCATTAGGTCCAGTCGTGGCCAACTCTGGGGTTGCGGCACTCATCTTGCTTTATTGGCCGAGGGAGCCGGCGTACTGCTTCTGGATCGTGTGGCCAGCATGACTAAGCCGCTTCTGGCAAACCAGAGTAGCGCACGGAAACACCGTTTACCTTCCCGCCAGAGCGGTACCTATTTATCTACTTGCACTTTGACATGCTTTCAAAGCAGCGGCGTAGCGTGGGTTATCAGCACCCGGGGCAAGGCAAGTAATTTGCGCCCCCTAACCCGGGGCAAGGCAAGTAATTTGCGCCCCCTAACCTGGGGCAAGGCAAGTACAGTAATTTACTCTCCCAAGCAGCAGCAGCGAGGCTTCTCTTTCCCCCGCGCTCTCCTGGAGCTGCCTCTTTTCTTTCCTTTTTTCCCTTTCTCCAAGGCTTTTCGCTTTCTCTCCTAAATTGATTCCTCCTCCACACCGCGGCGTTTCCTGGCTGCTCCCCCCCCTCTCTCCTCCTCGCTCTGCTTGCCTTTCCCTGCCCTGCCTGAGGGCGCCCTGAGGAGACTCCGCTCTCCTTTTTGACCAGGCGAGGTGGAAAAAAGGGGGGAAAGTCTCTTCCCGCCCCCTCGCCAGACTCCCTGCTCGGCTCGGCTCACTACCCAGGCGGCCAGTGGAGAGAGTCTTGAGCCGCTTAATTCCCAGCAAGGAATTAGCAGGCTCGCTCCACCTCCTCCTCCTCCCGACTTTGCTGCTGCTGCTGCTGCTGCGCGGCTTTTTTCCTCTACCGACGGCACGCTGTGCCTTGGAGAGGTTCCCGCTTCCTCGAGGGGGGCCGGCCAAACGCGCCCCCCAAAATGTTGCGCCCGGTGCGGCCGGCACCCCTGGCACCCCCCACGCTACGCCACTGTTTCAAAGTGCTAGGTTGGCAGGAGCTGGGACAGAGCGGCGGGATCTCACCCCATCACAGGGATTCGAACCGCCGACCTTCTGATCGGCAAGCCCTAGGCAAGCCCTAGGTTTAGACCACAGCGCCACCCACGTCCCTTGTGCCAGGAGTAGCTAACTTTATTTGGTGGCCCTCTGAGGGTCCCATACCAGAAATGGGTGTAGACAAAATCAAGTGGGGCAACCCACACAGAGATCCACACCTCACAGGAAGCATGCACAAATGCACCCCAACACTGTGCCAACTGAGTTTTTAATTTTTGCTTCATAGGAACACTTGATTTATTTTAATTATTTATTTAAAAGGAGCATGGTGGGCATCTTGAGGGAAACTGGCCTGTGGTCTAGATCATGTCCTCAGACCAAGAATTGCATACTTCAGCCTAGACGTATTCAATGGTTTGCACCCAGTACTAGGACCACATTTTATACTGAATGAGCTGGGGTGGAGTCAGGAGGTCTTTGGTCAACACAGATTATGAGGGTAAGCATGGGCCCCTCTTTGGGGAGCCACCACCATTTTCTGTCTTTGCTGCCAGTTGGGTTGGTAAATCTACCAATGGCATTGGATCAGCAACACATGGAGGAATGCTTTAGGCATTGCAACCTCACAACCTGTCAGCGCCTAAATGATATTGAGCATCAGAATAACTTGGCCACAATAAGGAAATTTTGCCCATGGTATAACTATTTCCCACCTTCCCAACTTCGACTCTCTGGCACTCTAAACAATCTAAATAACCTAGCAATTCTAAAATATAGACGTGCCTTTACTCTCGCAAGATTGAATGTATTGACCTTGGCTGTATTTGAGGGACGATTCCAACAGATTCCACATGAAAAACGCTTATGTCCCTGTGGAGATGGCAGCACTGAATCGGTGGCGCATGCCCTTCTGGCTTGCACCCTTTATAAAGACTTGAGGAATGAGATTATCACCCCTCTTTTATTGTCCATTCCGGGTCGCCCAGCCACTGCCCCAGTGTCCTTTCTCTTGGCAGATCAAGATGAGCAGGTGACAGCAAAGGCTGCAAGGTTTTCAGCTGGGACAATTAGAATAAGATCCACTATTTGACTATTGATTAAAAACCCTAATATGTATTTTATAAAATTGACTTTTTAAATTCTTTGTATATCGTATTGTTGTTTTATTGCTATGGCCGATGGCTGGCGCAAATAAATATTCATTCATTCATTCGTACTGTGAGAATAAAAGGAGATGATGTCATGTGCGCCAGCTTTGTCTTTTTGGAGGAACAGTAGGAAAAATATAAATGTATGACAGATCAACCAATGAATTACACTGACAGATGCCCCTGCTTTTCAATGCTCCTTGTCTCATATCCAAGGGCGAAAGTCTGTGCATTTCTTCCATGGTGAATTATGTTAGGTGTGCCCACATCTGATACTGCCCATGCATCTTTCTACAAAATCCATCCTTTGGGCATTCCTAGCCAGAAACTGAAAATGCTATTGCAGGAGTCGCTCATGCCAGTATTTGTCCTTGTTTAGTATAATTTTCGGAGCAACCCCCAGAGAGACTTTACTATCATATGTTCCCCACCCCTCCTTTCCACCTTCTCTTACTTGAGGGCTTGGGAGTGGTGGCATTAGAGAGCCCTCCGTTGTGCTGATTGTTTTCAGAGAGGTCCAAACTCATGCGGGGCTTTGGCTGATACTCTCTTCTGGGCTGGACTGAGGCATCTTTTATCCTGCCAGAAGATAAGCAAATCCTGAGCAAGCAAGTCATCAGCAAATCGTAAGCACCAAGACTAATGAAAGACAAAAAGTTTCCCTTGCATTCTGAATAAACTAGAGTCTCTTAGATATTTTGTTTTGTTTTGTTTTGGTATATTTATAACCAGGGCTTTTTTCAGCCGGAGCTCACCAGAGCTCAGCTCTGGCACCTCTCAGGTGAGCACCATTGCCATTCTAAAAGAACAAGAGAGAAGTTCATGATGAGCTCTGGTACCTCTTTTTCTAGAAAAATAGCACTGATTATAACCCTTCATCATAGTAGATCCTTTTGTACTTTTTCCTGGAAGGTCTGATTGCAAAAGACCTCAGGAAAGCTGTGTTTCTGCAAAGCTGTCATGTTCTGCGGTTTGAGGTCACATTTGCAGTGGAACTGAAGCTATGCAGATTCCCCGGCTCACTGAATATATTGAACTCTCCGTTGATAGAATGCAACAGACTGGACTTGTCCAAGGTGCTTAAAGTCAACAGTAGAAAGACTATATATAGTTGAGTAAAAGTGTATTAGGTAGCTCCAAAATCTTCCTGTCAACAACTTACAGAATTTAAAACAAGCAAAGAAGCCAGCTCCAAGCTTTGCAACACCTGAAATCGGTACGCATGACTTCAGAATGAAAAAAGGGAACTAACCCCACCACCAGTCTTTAGAAGTAACATTTCAATCCATCTGTATCTGTTCGTTTACTGGCATGGGAGCAACTGTGCGAATACTAGTAAGGCTAGGGATGGTGGTGGTGGTAGAGACCTCATCACAATGAGGATGTTTTTGGTTGAGTGCCTGCTGCAAAATATAACATGCTCCACCCCTAAGTTACACTTACGCATCTTACTTCCTGGTGGCTGCAACCAATGGGATTTAAGTTATGTGTTAAAAGACTGAACAGATCAACAATACAATTTCAAGCCTGTTTTTTTCTGGTTCAGCACTGCTGACATGTTTGCACAGACAATACAGTGGTGCCTCGCAAGACGAAATTAATTCGTTCCGCGAGTTTTGTCGTCTTGCGAAGCACGGTGTCGGAAAAGTTTTGGAAAAGCTTCAAAAATCACCAAAGTCTTCAAAAACCTCAAAAAAGGCTACCACACCACGTGTTATGAGTTGCTCCTCGAAGTCAAGTCGCAACTGTATTAACAGTGTTAAGAAAAAGGAAACAAACTTGCAAGACGTTTCCATCTTGCGAAGCAAGCCCATAGGGAAAATCGTCTTGCAAAGCAGCTCAAAAAACAAAAAACCCTTTCGTCTTGCGAGTTTTCCATCTTGCGAGGCATTCGTCTTGCGAGGTACCACTGTATACACAAATTGAAACATATATTAAGCCTCAGATCCCCACCCCCTTTTTTTAAGAACATCAGAAATATTTAGCTACCTCTCTTCCAACTTGGAACTAACTTGCTGGAGGATCTGTGTGGCTTGCCTGTGGTACTCCAGTTGGGCTTGTACAAGGGCAGATAGCTGGCTCACTTGCTCGATCTGAAAAAGGGAGATATTGAAAACGTGCGTTGATTATTGTCGTGCGGCTTATTCAAAGAGCTTCCGTAAAGGCACTAACACTCCAACATGCAAGAAACAGTGAATAAAGTATTATCTGTATTGGACTGGAGAGCCAAAGAGAACATAAATGTATGTAGACTTGTGTTAGGAGCTCACTTCAGCAGGAAATGGGCAGAACCATTGGTATACCAGTGGCAGACTGGTCGATCAGTATTGGGCATTTTCTGAGAAAGAATCATTCGATTCCAGCTGGGTTCTGGAATGAGGGCTAGATAGACGTTGGCCCGGGGCAGAAAGGTGCTTCTTATGTTAAGAGTCCATACACAGACTAGCTTGCACACAAATAAAACATTATTATTGTGCATGCTTGCTCTGCTGATTTAAGAAATACGATGATGCATATTCATGGAAGAGAGTCTAGGAAACATGAACACAAAACTCAGTTCTTTTATTTTGTTTTTCTACTCATTTAAAAAGTCGTTAAACTGCCAACAAACATGTCAATACTACAACACATTCCAAGGAGATAAGAGATTTGCTCACATCCATTTCTAGCAGATTAAACATGCTCAACTCAGCAACTTCCTTTGACTCATCAAACTTCTCCAGAGCCGCACGGAGTTCTTCATCTGGGATTTTGCCTTGCCTTTTCTTCTTGTAATCGAAATCCAGGCGCCTGCCCTCCAATTTTTTAAGGTGATGCTGAAGAGGGGGAAAGGGTGGAGAGAGATTCTGCCAGTCCTCGCCTCTGCCTTACAAACACAGTGGACTAAATAAAGACTATACATTCAAACTTATATGGAATGAGTTGACTAAGTACCCTCAAATTCTGCTGTAGAATCAAGTCCGTATGCTGCTCATATTGCAGATAAAGGGCAGAAGTCATAGTTGGTAGCTGTTTAGATGTGAAACTACCCTATCAGAGTGAGTGAAGGCCAAAATACATAGAATAGGAGACCCACACAGTCATATTTTTAATATAACATTATTTGCCTAAATATGCAACTTATTTATTTTTTTAAAAAAAAAACAACAACAAGCAATTTTAGCTTGCAACCTGATTTTTGTCTCACTGTATGAAATATACTCAGAGAAAGGCTTCAGTTTATTTCAAGTAGTCGGATAAAAACAGTCAGGGTGTAGCCTGGCTTGTAGTCCCTGCCAGACCCAGGCTATATATCATGTAACCACACCCTAGGTCACACCTGATAGGTTAGTTCAAACTTCCCTTCTGGAGCCGGATTGGACGGCTCCACTGCCAATCAGATGCTGCCTTCTAGAATCCTCCCTGCCTATTATTCTAGAATCCCAACTCCAGACATAACACTGTAGTGGATAGGAAAGCTTCACAGTGAATTCAAGACCAGCTGTGCATCTTAATTACATCCTTATTTATTCAAGGACCACACACTGCTTCCTTGAATTTTGACAACTACCAACTACATCAGAAACTATGTTTATCACAAGAATGTGGCCTTTCCAGGCTCTAGAGATCATCAGGAAAAGTGGTACTCCGAGATCACCCTTGTTTTATTTTGCTGATTGTACAGCATTCCAGTGGCTACCCTCCTACCACAATTAAAACAATAAGTAGGTGTTTATACTGACAGGAAATTCCATCAAATTTGCAGTCCTTGAAGAAAGCAGTACTGCACAAGACTTCACTGCAGAGGGAGCTGAGAGTGCATCCAGTGTAGCACAAAGTTAAAGTTGATTAGTGATGTTCTTGTTGCGCTGGCGAAACATTGTTGGACAAGGGAAAACATAAGTACTTTACCAGGCACTGCTGTGAAACAAATTGCACAATAAACATTGGCTGTTGCACAACAAACTTCCACTAGTGCAACTGCTGCATTGAATTTCTTTGCTGCGCAACCTTTAAACCCTGCCATCTGCTAGCAAAAATGGTGGATATGGGCCACAATTATGGAGGCAATCCTGCCAAGCTACTTCACTGCCCAGTTCTAGGGAGCTTATTAGCCTTTAAAAAAAAAATTGGCAGAAAGCTGCTGTTGCTTTCCTATTGCTCTTTGGGTTTATTTGTTTTTAATCTGTGGATGGTTGTGGTTTTTGTGTGTGTTTTTTTAAAAGCTGTAATATAAACAACCTTTCATTTGCCTAAGGTGTACTTACAGCCCACTAAATTAAAGGACAGTTTAGGCAAAGGGACCCCTGACCGCTAGGTCCAGTCGCGGACGACTCTGGGGTTGCAGCGCTCATCTCGCTTTATTGGCCGGGTTCCAGGTCATGTGGCCAGCATGACTAAGCCGCTTCTGGTGAACCAGAGCAGCACAAGGAAACACCATTTACCTTCCCGCCGGAGTGGTACCTATTTATCTACTTGCACTTTGATGTGCCTTCGAACTGCTAGGTTGGCAGGAGCAGGGACCGAGCAACGGGAGCTCACCCTGTCGCGGGGATTCGAACCACCGACCTTCTGATCGACAAGTCCTAGGCTCTGTGGTTTAACCCACAGTGCCACCCGCATCCCCCTGTGTATGCTGCTTTATCAAAATTAAGTGGTTTTGGCAGGAGGTTGCTAGGTTGGCAGGAGCAGGGACCGAGCAATAGGAGCTCACCCTGTCGCGAGGGTTCGAACCACCGACCTTCTGATCGACAAGTCCTGGGCTCTGTGGTTTAACCCACAGTGCCACCCGCATCCCAAAGGACAGTTTAGGAATATCTAAAATAAAAATAATAATTTTACAAATAAAACATTTTTTCAAGTGCTCTTCAGTCATTAGAGCTGGAGCTCTGAGTGAGCTTGCAGATGCCTGTATCCAAACACCAGTGTCTGAACAGAACTACAATTCTCAAGCTGCTGGGGAAGATGCTATCGTGTAGATGAGGACCGCAACACTGGCCACCAGGGAATGTTCTCTTAGCTTTGACTTTGGAGTAGGAACTTGCCGCTGGGAGTGATTTCTATTCTTGGAATCCTTGTTTCCACTTTTAAGTACATTCTCCCTGTGCTGCACTGCATAAAGGGTTGGATCCAGTGCTATGCACTTACCTGGGGGTCATCCCGTTGAAGATTCACTTCTGAATAAACATACATAGGATTGCAGAGTTAAAATTAGCTGAGCAATGTTATATATTGGTATGACCACCATTTAACTACTCCTTCTTCTAAGATAGAGATAGATGATGATAGATAGATGATAGATAGATGATAGATAGATAGATAGATAGATAGATAGATGATAGATGATGATGATGATGATAGATAGATAGATAGATAGATATAGATATAGATAGATAGATAGATAGATAGATAGATGATAGATGATAGATAGATATAGATAGATAGATAGATAGATAGATAGATAGATAGATGATAGATGATAGATGATAGATGATATAGATAGATGGTAGATAGATTAGATAGATAGATGATAGATAGATAGATAGATAGATAGATAGATAGATGGTAGATAGATACATAGGATAGATAGAAAATATTGTGTGTGTGTGTGTGTGTGTGTGTGTGTACACACATATACAATTAAATTACAGATATGGAGCAGGGCAGAGGTAAGGTGAATACAGTGCAAGCACACCAACAGATCCAATCAGGTCTCCCGCCAATGCATGTGCACCGCACTGACCTCACCCCTCGGCTTCTCTATCCTGGTATCCTGTATTATGTGGAATAGAAAGGAGGAGCTACAGAGCAATGGTTCTGCTGTGTATCTTGCAACGGCCAGTTAATTTCTCAGCAAATTACCTGTATTTCCCTCAGATCTTTGTCATGAAGGTTTTGAAGGGGATCAATAAAATTCTGTTTCACATCAATGTCCAAAGAATCTTTCACCTCGGAAAGTTCCCTCATTGCTTCTCCAACGTCACCGAGAGCTGGGCCTGAAGAAATGGAAGAAGACTGTGCTTCCACATCAGCATAGAGCAGGGCAAGTATTGAGAAGTTCATTACAGAAATAAAATTCTAAGCATGGTTCCTAAGCTCAGTAATTTCTCAGGAATCAAAAACACAGGGGCGAAAACCAGCATTAATCATACACAAATAGACCCACTGAAACCGCTGGATTTAATCCACTGATTTCAATCATTCTAATGTACAACTAATGTTGAATATCACTAAAGGCATTCTAGGCAACAGAACTTCTGTATCATGGCACATAATCATGCAACTCCCTCCCAGATGACCTTTGGTTGTCTGCTATGTTGGCCTCATTCAGACCCAGCCTGGGGAATACCAGCCATTAATTTGTTTATTTGTAAAAACCAATAGTTTTCCACACTTCTAGTGTGGAAATCAGGCTCTAGTGCAGCTAAGAAGATTAGAAACAAAAGCTTATAAGCATGGCAGGATGTGAAAAAGCCTATCTATATCTATCTATCTATCATCTATCTATCTATCTATCATCTATCTATCTATCTATCTATCTATCTATCTATCTATCTATCTATCATCTCTATCATCATCATCTATCTATCATCTATCTATCTATCTATCATCTATCTATCTATCTATCTATCTATCATCTATCTATCTATCATCTATCTATCTATCTATCATCTATCATCTATCATCTATCATCTATCATCTATCATCTATCATCTATCATCTATCATCTATCATCTATCTATCTATCTCTAGCTAGCTAGCTATTATCTATCTGTCTCTCTGTCTATCTATATCTATCTATCTATGCTTAGGTGAGTAGACAATGCTCATAGGATCAGGGCATCCCTTTTCAGTGGACATCTCATGAAAGCAAGATAGTAGATTAAAAAGTAGATATTAAAAGCACTTGTGCCTGTAAGCCCTAGTTCAGACTGAAGGTTATCTGTGTGTGCTAGAGAAAATTACATGAGCCCAAGGGTTGCTACTATGCCCAGCAGTGTATATTCTGTATAGTTAGCCTTTGTGTGAAACAGCCCCAAATGTTTAACTGTCAGAAAATAAGCGGAATTGACATCCGGGAGGAATATCCACTTTGCCCTGGATCTTAGGCAAGTCAATTGAAAAATTGCATGTTTTGGCTCAACAACTTTAGGGTTTTCTTTTAAAAAGCTCAAAAACTTTTGGGGTGTCCTGGTTTTTACTTTTTGAAATATGGCAATCCTACATATGGCGTGTTGTTGAATTTTTGTACTGGGAGCTTGTGTTTGATACAAACTATTCTCCAAAGGTCCAGTTATTAACATTTAATTCATAAAAGAACAATTTGGCAAACCAGATGCAGGGATTCAAAGCAAATTGTGGCTGCAGCTACACATTTTGCATGAGGGTTCTCTGCATGTGCTTAGTCCTTGCCCTCCCACATGGGAAAAATCTGCCCGAATAAATGTGTGGTATGTTGTGATTTTAAATCTTGTTGTGAGCCACTTTGTGGGGAACTTCTCTCAAAAATCAGGACATAAATTTGTTTAAATAAATAAAATATGGCATAATCAGGTTTTGCCATTTTTGTGCCACCTCTGGAGGCCTAACCCCGAGAAGGTCTAGCCAGAGGTATCTTACAGTGCGGATTTGAAAAATCACATTACCAAAGTTGCAGTCGTCTCCAAGTTCTTTTCCAAACTTCAGCATCGCATCTGCTAACAGGGCCTCCGCCTGTTGATAACCTGGTCCTTTCTCCTGGCCTCTGATTTTGGACATAGTGTTGAGCATGTTGAGTCTAGCTCTGGAAGCTGCAAACAAGCAAACAAGCTAATTAGCCCAGGAGAAGGTGACAACACAGGACCAAAGACAGAATAATAATTTTAAAGAGAGTTCTCCCAGTGAGTTCTTCAGCCATGGTGAAACTCCATTTCCTCCAAGATTTGCCATTGAAAAGGCATGCATAGTGTGGGATGTAATCCACTGGGAGCAGTCAAACACAACATTCCTTGTTTTCCTAGAGTTGGACATGCAGGGGATGTTTGGTCTAGCCAGTCAAAACTTCCTGTTTCCTCCTGGGCTGGAACATTCTTCCTTTTGCATGTGACTAGAGGTGGGTGTGACCTTACCTGCCCAGGTAACAAAAAGACAAGGCATGCTGCCACTCTCTCTCTTTTTCACTTCCTTCTTCGTCGGACCAGCTTCTTAGCTGGAAATGCTCTGCTAGCTTCTTAGCTAGCAGAAAGCACTGGGATTATTCCCCCATTATGGGGTAGGTCCACATATACATATTTATAACTAAGTCGGCTTTAGGGATCCAACTGTGAACTGATGTGAGTAAACTTCTTTTATTGACTTTGAGTAAGATTGTTGTGTCTTTATTCTTTTAAGAGGGATAAAAGGGAACTTACCAGGAACATACAATTCAATACTGAATTGTATGGTAGTGAGAGGCCTACACAAGCCTACAACCAGCTATCTGCTGTGCATGTAAAAAGAGGAATGTAAACTCTGCTAAGTAAAGAAACTTGCTAGCGCAAGTTAGGAAGGATATTAATGAATATATCTTCTCCTGCCTCCCTGAACATTCCCACACATAGCAGTCAATCAAAGCCCCATTAAGTAAATTTCCTCATCTTTCGGTGAGGTAGCTAGCAATGGCTACTAACCACAATGGTTATGTTCTTTCTCCACTGTTAGAGGCAGCATACCTCTGAAGAGCAGTTGCTGGGAACTCCAATGTAGTAATAACGGAGACGACAGGAGGCTAGATGCAGGTTAGCTGTGCAGAAGCACGCTGGCAAGCATGCTCCAAGCAAGCTGCTGGCTAGCTCTGCCGAGGCTCCTTTTATTGGCAGAAGTCAACCGTTCGAAACAGTAGTGAAACCATCCTGAACTTAACGTATTTCCATCTAAGGACATTTCCAGTATTAGCAAATACACGTGTCAGCAGGTGTTTCCCTCAGATGTTCCCCCCGATACGTCTGTGTCCCCGGTCATGCTCCAGCCAAGCGATATGTCTAACAAACAAATTGTGAGAGGACAAAAGGCCGGGGAAAACCCCTGTTTTCTAGCCAAGAAGGCAAAAGGTCAGGGAAATCAGGCACAGCACTCCTTGACATACTGTTGCATGTCTGGTGCGAGGTTTGTCTTTACAAAGCGGAGCGTTACCTCCAACTCCAAGTGGGTAGAGTTGCTCTTGAACTCAGTTCCAGCTTGTATGCTTCCCATAGGGATCTGGCTGGCTACTTTGAGAGCAGAATGTTGAATTTGATGGGCCACTGGCTGATCCAGCATGGCTTTTCTTGTGTTCTTATGTGGTGGGAAAGTGTGGGCGCACCACAGGCAGACTGGGTTGGCTGGTGCACCCACAAAGGCTCATCCTCGCTGCCACCCCACCCTACTGGCATACCCTTGTCCAGGTAAACAGGAGTGATGCCAGTGTCAGGAGGGCAGTTTGCTCTACCGCATGTGTTGCTACTGGAAAAGAGGAGAGCAAGAGGAGATATGATGGCCATCTTCAAATATCTCAAGATTTATCCCATGGAAGATGGAGCAAGATTGTTTTATCCTACTATGGAGGGTATGACCTGAACCAATTGACTTCAAGTTACAAGAAAGTAAGAGCTGTTTGACAATGGAACAATCTTCTTCAGAAGGTGGCGGACTCTCCTTCCTGGGAGGTTTTTAAGCAGAGGTTGGATGGTCATCTGTCATGGATGCTTCAGTGGAGATTCCTGCATTGCAGGGGGTTGGACTAGATGACCCTTGGATCCCTCCCAACTCTACAATTCTATTCTTCTTGGCGCTGTGGGTAAAAGCCTCAGCGCCTAGGGCTTGACGATCAAAAGGTCAGCGGTTCGAATCCCCGCGGCAGGGTGCGCTCCCGCTGCTCGGTCCCAGCGCCTGCCAACCTAGCAGTTCGAAAGCACCCCCGGGTGCAAGTAGATAAATAGGGACCGCTTACCAGCGGGAAGGTAAACGGCATTCCGTGTGCTGCGCTGGCTCGCCAGATGCAGCTTTGTCACGCTGGCCACGTGACCCGGAAGTGTCTGCGGACAGCGCTGGCCCCCGGCCTCTTGAGTGAGATGGGCGCACAACCCCAGAGTCTGTCAAGACTGGCCCGTACGGGCAGGGGTACCTTTACCTATTAAAGATTTTCCTCGTACCTACAGGACCGCCTCTCCTGGTATGTCCCACAGAGAACCTTACGGTCTTCAAACAACATCCTGAAGGTCCTGGGCCACAGGGAGGTAAGGCTGGCCTCAACTAGGGCCAGGGCTTTTTCGGCCATGGCCCTGATCTGGTGGAACACTCTGTCACAAGAGACTAGGGCCCTGCAGGACTTGACATCTTTCCGCAGGGCCTGCAAGACAGAGCTGTTCCACCAGGCCTTTGGCCAAGGCACAGTCTGACCCCCTCCTTCAGTAATCCTCATAGAACTCTAGCCCAATGGTTGCCATTAATTTGACTCTGAATTGATTTTAGAATTGAATTGATTTTAGAATGTATTTCAATTAATTGATTGTGATTTTAAGTAAACTGTGTTACATTTACTGTTGTTAGCCGCTCTGAGCCCGGCTTCAGCTGGGGAGGGTGGGATATAAATAAAATTTTATTATTTTATTATTATTATTATTATTTACAAAAGCACATGCATATAGGGTTGGTAAGAAGAGAGGAGGGGGCGGAAGAGAGAGGGGTGGTGGGGTGGTGAAGCTTATGTTCTTTTACTTAGTGCATGCGTGGGGTTTTTGTGCCAGCATCACTTGGGTAGGTTCATCATCATCATCATCATCCTTTTTTATTTGTATGCCGCCTTTCCACAGTTAAAACAATACTCAAGGTGGCTTACAATATGAAAAGATTTACATGATCACAAACATAGTCATAAAAACAAATAAAACACGTTAAGAACTACATAACCAAACTGAACAACTTCCACACAAAAATAAAGATACAAAAAGTTAGTATCAGTACAGTGGTACCTCAGGTTAAGAACTTAATTCGTTCTGGAGGTCTGTTCTTAACCTGAAACTGTTCTTAACCTGAGGTACCGCTTTAGCTAATGGGGCCTCCCGCTGCCACTGCAGCGCAATTTCTGTTCTCATCCTGAAGCAAAGTTCTTAACCCGAGGTACTATTTCTGGGTTAGCCGAGTCTGCAACCTGAAGCATCTGTAACCTGAAGCGTCTGCAACCCGAGGTACCACTGTAATATCAGTTAATATCAGTAACAACAGCAAAAACTCATATCATAGAAAGGTTCTCTTTCTATGATTCTTCTGCCTACATGGGTGCCTTGGGCAGCAGGGAAGGGAGACAGCACTGTTTGCTTCCTTCTTTCCTCTAAAGCTCTGTATCAAGTGAGCAGACTGCCTGCTTTCCCACCTGCAATGCCTGGCGCTACAACTATCAGCACACTGGACAGCAGACAGTCGTAATAAGCTTAACCCACTCACTCTTTCTACATGGTTCCAAGGAAGCTGTGGCTCAAGAGACTTTCTGAGTGCACAAAAGATCCTCATAGCACATCAGTAATGAGAAGAGCATGGATATGTGTTTCCCCGCCTTAAAATATATGCCAGCTGCAACCGGGAAAGATATGAAGCCACACTCACATGGACTGTGAAGGGACCTGGAGTAATTTATGCATGCACACAACTCCTCCGTTGTGGATGCATGACGCATACATTTTGTAGCTGGGTATCTGTCTCAGAGTACAAAACCTATCCTAGGAAGCAAACCTTATTATCTCGGTGACTCATCTATGAAAACGTGTTTTGGCTGTGGTGCCTCTGCAGCACAAATTGCTCAATAACACATAACGTATATATCGCAACCAAACTCACGAGATGGCAGGGGAAATCATCAGAATTCTGTTGCTCAGAGTGGGAAACAGAACACTGTAATGATACCGGTGGAGTGCAGGATGGCAAGTAATGGTTTGCGCCATTGCACTCTGTTTGTTCCGCTGCAAATCCTTTCCGGGCTCAGTAAATCTTTTCCAGTCCTCTTGAAACCTTGAACCACGCGGGGAACAACGAAACAGTGAAACTGTTGCACAACCCCCTTGCAGTCTTTAGATGAAGGCTGGATTGGATATGGAGTCTATTTTATGAAGAAGTCTGTCCAAAACCAGACATTGCCACTCCCCTGTGCCCCTGCCCCTTTCCACAGGTGCTTAACCTGACTGGAAGTCTGCATCATGAGAGATCCAGAATACACAAAGTGCCTTTATGCGTACACTGTATGTGCCCAGGATCCCCTTTTCAGACACCCCACTGTCTGAAACTCAATGCATGTTGGTAACAACTGAAAAGAACCAACATCACTTGCATAGCCAAGAAATATTTCAAAGTTTGAATTCCATCCATTCCATTTTTACCAAACGCTCTGATATGGAACCAGATGTCAACACCTTGCAAATAAGCAATGTTTTAATTCAATACACATCAGAGTTCTGGGTCAATACCAGGATGTGAGGAGACTATGTTGCTTAAGATTTTCAACCTGCGGTTTGCCCTTTGAATCTAAAGTGTTTTCAACAGGACGTCAGAGCTTCTTGCCTCATTTAGCAGCTGGCACAATTCAAGAGCGCTGACTGGAACAGAAGTGGGTGTATTCAGTAGCCTAGGGACACAATGCAGTTAGGCTTCACCTGTAACCACAGCTATTACGCACAGAATGACTCTGCAGACTATAACTAGTGAGACCATACTTTCCCAGGCTTCTTCCACCATGAAGGACAAAAACCATTACCTATTTCTGAGAAGTATTTCCCATCTTCTAAATGCATGTGTACGAACACAGCGTACAATCCACAAACACACCAAGAAACCAGACCCGGCATTGTCTCCCTACCACATCTGCACATAGTGATAAACATGCAGTGAGAGATACAGGCAGACCAACAGCACACACAAGACCCCAGATTCTATCCCTGACATTTTATCCATGGCTACTAGTCACAGTGGTTCTACTGATGCTGTCAGATGCATTATAGCTCCAAATGCCCATTTTCTGGGAATCGCAGGTGGGCAGAGTGCTGTTGAGCTCATGACCAGCTTGCAGGCATTTCGTCTGCCATTGTGGGAAGAGGAGGATGGACTAGACTGGCCATTGGCCTGATCCTGCAGCCTCTTATTTTCTTTTATGGCATGATGAGAAGGTGGACAGGCATTGACAGTCAGAGTAATATTAATAATAAATAATACATTTTTATTTATACCCCGCCCTTTCCAGTTCAGAAAAATGGGCTCAGGGTGGCTAACAAGAAATTTAAAACACTTACCGTATTTTTCGCTCTATAAGATGCACTTTTCCCCTCTTGCTCTTCTGGCTTCAGGGGTAGCCACGCAAAGCCTCTTGAGCACAGCAGGAGTGCTCCTCCCTCTTCGCTCAAGAGGCTTTGCGTTGCTTTCTTGTTTCTTGTTTTTCTCCTCTAAAAATTATGTGCGTCTTATGGTCAGGTGCGTCTTATAGAGCGAAAAATACGCTGATTGATAAAACAAAAAACAGCTTAGAATACAGTATAAAATGTGAATAACAATAAATTCAGAATTCAAAAACCAATTTAGGAGAAAAACCATCCAATAAGCATTAGATGATCACCAGGGCTAGCGGGCTAAATTAGCCCTATTTGGGCCAGCAAGGAGACCAGGGGAGAATTAGCTGTGGGATCCCAGAGCGGGTAATCTTCATAAAAAGGGGAAGGGGAGGGAAGGAAGGGGAATAAAAGATCAGGCTAAGTTCAAATTGAAAGCCAGGCAGAATAGCTCTGTCTTACAGGCCCTGCAGAAGGAAGTTCAATCCTGCAGAGCCCTGGTCTCATGGGACAGAGCATTCCACCAGGCTGGAGCCATCATTGAGAAGGCCCTTGCCCTGGTGGAGTAGGCAATGGCTTGGTTCCTAACATCCACTCTCCTTATGGAACAGAATTTTGCTGAAATGGCAGGGCTCTACCGCCTCCTCTGTAGCCCTCAAAATCCATTCCCAAGTCTTGGGGAACAGGAAGGCATTGGGCTCAAGGCACTTAAGGAGGAAGAGAGAACTGACAAATACCAGACTCCTCTTGTCCTAGCTGAAGCACCTTCCACTCATACAAGAGCATCTTAAGAACTAAGGCAAAGCGGGTTCAGGATGACAGTGTCGGGTGTCTTTTCTTTTCACTGTACAAAGGAGCCCTGAATGTTGAGATTCTGGTAAACATGAGGAAGTGAGACTTTGCTGAAAAGGGGAAAGCAGAACAAACCTTCTGTGTAGATTAGGATATTCCTTGCGCTGATGTACATTCAAGAAGTATGGCAACAAAGGCTAGTGAATTCCTCACCTTAGATTCAGTGTCCATGCATCAGTAATGACAAAGCTCTTAAAACCATCTATATACGTCATACTTTGCACAGAGAATATCTCTCCTACACATCATTTCCTACTCTGCTGTTGTTTTTCGATAAAAGCCCATCTGAAGCAGCACTGGAAAAAAGTGAGTGAACTTTTAATCAACATGCACTCTGATTCCTAAAGAAGGACAATTACCTGGGTTAGGTTGAAGGTATTCTGTTGTCCTGGCCATTATTTCCATCACAGCCCTGCTGGTGACATCCACTTTCTGCAATTAGAAGATGATGATGAAGATATAAAAAGAAGAGAGGAAACACCCAATCAGGATGGATAATCCAATACTTTTTGTTTTCTGTACTTATTCTTCCATCATTCTTCATTATATGTGGTAGATGACACAAATGTGCTAGTTGTGTCAATAGCAACTACACATTAACAGACCCAACACACTGCTGTTCTCCCCTAACATGTTACTGGGTATGTGGCAAAATCCTATGCCTGCCATGATAGAAAATCTATAATGCTGCAGACTCTGCCTCATGCAACAGCCTCCTTAATGAGCCAGAACAGGGACAGAAACCTTCAAGAGCCTATAGAAACCACTGGCTCTGATAGCCACTACAGACACCTGGCACAGGTGAGCCCGCTTCCAGATTTCACCTGGCCCCAGTTTCTGGGAGGGCGAGAGCTGCTACTCACTCATCCTCTGGCAGTACCTTGCTTTTTCTTGCAGAGAAGATCAAGGAAGTCACTCCCTGACTGTTTTCCTTCCTTGTTCTCTCTTTTGTTGACATCTCCTGCCTGCAGTTGGGGAAGGAGAAGAGTAGGGAAAAGCAACCAATGTCAGATAGGACAAGAAAGGAAAACTGGGGAGCAATTGTCTACTTCCATCCTTAAAAATAAAAGCAAGGCACCTATTAGTTGCTTAGTGAGCAGCTGAAGCCCTTTACTCACCAAGACCACAAGGGGGATCTCCGACTTTGAGTGTCAGGCATCAAAGATGTCAAAACAGAGAGTCATCTACAGGCTCTGGGAGGCTTCTATGTATGTCACGCCTCATTGAGAGGTGAACATATGACTCAAGCCTTCCTTTCAGAGAAGCTAAGGCTCAATAAGCTATTACTAGTCTTCTGGGCTCTAGATATTCTCAATATTCTACTCTGAATATTCTACAGTGTGTCTCCTAAAATGGAACCATTATGGTAAACAATGCTATAGCTGGGAAACTAAGTCACATTTTGAAGCAGGGGGAGAGTTCTGGAGATTATTGAGCCCCATTCACTGGTATTAAAACACTTGATAAGGTTCAGTGTGAATACATTGGAGACATGTGGCACCTTGAGGTGAAGGCCAAAATGGCATCCCTTCCCCATTCCACAAATGGAAGCTCATCAGACATGCAGTGGAATCTTAACTGGAAGCACGAGCAATGAGACAGCGCCTCCACTGCCCCCCAAAGTAGGAGGCTGGCTTAGAGGCTGCAGAGCAGGTCGTGGGGCACACACAAAGCTCTGTCTTTCAGCACCTCTGCCTAACTATTGCATGAGGTGGCCACATCACTCTGCAGAACGGTAGGACCGGCCGTGCTCCCAAACCCAGCAGAATACGGCCAACTTTCAATAGCTTATGCAGAAACCTGAAAATAGTCCTCTTGCACTTGCTCAGCTACCATCCTTGACCAAATATCTACCCCATTCTTTTCACGTACATCTGCATTGTTATGTACACAACAGATATCTGCTTATATTGTTAATCTCCTTTCCATGCCCTCATTTCATTTGTTCACCCACCTGCTTTGTTGTTTATACGACAGTAAGCGCTTGAGGGCCGGGGAATAATTAAAGTTTATTATGTGTCATTACAATGCTTAGCACAGTGAAGTACTGGCCTAATTGAGGTCTCAGAGCAACATAAAATCAAAAGGCTGGAATAATAAAGGCAGTGAAGGAAGCCTAGGAAGTAGCAGATCTAATAAGACCAGCTCTGAAATGCAGATTCTTGAATGCAATGGCCTTTCCATTGATTTATTGCAATTATATCCTATCCTTCCTCCGCACAGCTCAGAGCGGTCTGCATGTGGTTCTGTGTCACCCATTTTATCCTTACAACAATTTGGCGAGGTGGGTTAGTCTGAGAGACAATAACTGATCCCAGGTTCATGGCTGAGTGGAGAATTGAATAAAGGTCTTCACAGTCTCATACTCTTAACCACATTGGCTCTACAAAGAATGAATGGGAGCAAGGAGGAAATTTTTGGCTTCCTGCATATTCTTGGCCACTTACCTGTTTCAATCAGGACAAGAACTGCGCTTAATTTAAGAAGTTCAACATTTTCAACATTACTATGAAGCTTCCCAATGGGGCCTTTCCTCCCAATTCAAGGAGCAATTTCCAACAGGAGCACAGCAGGAGTGGAAAGGGTTAAACTCCTCTTCCCTGCCTGCTGAAATTCTGTCAATTATCAGTCATTTGTCCCTCCCCACCTGAAGCTGCTATTTGCATTCTGAAAATGTGGGCCTGGAGTAACCGTTGCATTTAGGGTTTCCAGAGCCTCCTCTGTTCTCCTCTATCATACGTGCAAATCTGTTATGTAAAGGTAAAGGGACCCCTGACCATAGGTCCAGTCGTGGCCGACTCTGGGGTTGCGGTGCTCATCTCGCTTTATTGGCCGAGGGAGCCGGCGTACAGCTTCCGGATCATGTGGCCAGCATGACTAAGCTCGTTCTGGAGAAACCGGAGCAGCGCACGGAAATGCTTCCATCACTCCACCTACCTTTCCCGGTCAACCCGGTAAAGGTAAAGGGACCCCTGACCATTAGGTCCAGTTGCAGATGACTCGGATTGCAGTGCTCATCATGCTTTACTGGCCAAAGGAACCGACGTACAGCTTCCGGGTCATGTGGCCAGCATGACTAAGCCACTTCTGGCAAACCAGGGCAGCGCACGGAAATGCCGTTTACCTTCCTGCTGGAGCGGTACCTATTTATCTACTTGCACTTTGATGTGCTTTCAAACTGCTAGATTGGCAGGAGCAGGGACCGAGCAATGGGAGCTCACCCCGTGCGGGGCATTCGAACCGCCGACTCGGTCAGCAAGCCTAAGCTCTGTGGTTACCCAGTGTTTCCCAACCACTGTTCCGCGCACAAGTGTCGCAATTTGCTGTGTGCCGCGGGAAAAATTAAAAATTGAAAGATTTTTTTTTTTAAAGTCAACATTTTCGATGGGCGCCGTCCGATGACCCCTGGGTTCCTCCCTCCTCACGCTCTGCGCCTCCTACCCTCCTACGGGGAGCCCTCCTGGCTCTCGCCAAGGCTGGCGTGCTGCCACTCACCTCACTCCTCGCCCACGTCCCTCTCCGCAACCCCGCTCTCCCTCCGTCCCCGCCGGGCGCCGGATCCATCGTCCCCGCCCTGGCTCGTGCCCGGCGGGTGCGCGAACTACGTTTTCCCAGCATGGACTGGCGGCTGGCGTTTTGTTTGAAGCGCTTCTCCGCCATGAATGAGCGCAGCGGCGGCGGCCGGGCGGGCAGGGGCTCTTCCGCGCAGACCCCGCGCAGCCTGCCTGCGCCCCCCAGAGATCGGGCGACAGGATGGAGCCCGGGGATCCCCGCGGAGGCGGAGCGGCGGAGGCGAAGGCTGCCCCCCAGGTAGGGCTGCGTCGGGGTTTTTTTATTTTTGCAATGCTGCATCCGCGCCGGAGGGGACGCATCGGACCGCGGGGAGACCCCTTGGCGGGCGTGCAAGGCAATGCATGCGTGCAGGCGTTGCATGGAGTGCAGTGCAATGCAATGGCAACGCGGCGCCCTGCATGCATGCATGCAACTTCCACCGGCGCTCCGGACTTGGCAGGTGAGGGGGGTCCCCAGTGGGTGGCAGAGAGAGCCGGGAGGGCGAAGGGGAGCCGGGGGGAGCAGCGCTGCTCCCCGAGCCGAGCCCGGGGGGAAACTTCGGCGTCGTTGCGCCGGGTGTTGGAAGCGGAGGCTGGCGGGGGCCCCTCACCTGCAAAACCTGGTCGCCTCTCATATATTTCGTGCATTGCATTCATCGCCCGCTTTCTCCTCCAAGGAGCTCCCGGGGGCGCGCGTGGTTCTCCCCGTGTTATCCTCGCAAAAACAGCCCTGCGAGGTGGGTCAGGCGAGTGGCCCAAGGGAGCACCCAGGGATTGTCCTGGCCAGGTGGGGTGATTTGAACCCTACTCTCTGCCCGGTCTTCGTCCTCATTTAGCCCCCACATGTGCATGACTGTGCATGACTGAGGTTTTCCCCCCTCGTCTTGGCTATGGTGTGAGTCTGTGCTGTTAATTAATGGGGTTCTGCCTTCGGAGAAGATGAGCCAGCCCTCAAGGAGGTGATTATGTAATTTGCTAACAATTCATGTCCCTCCCGGCGTGATGCTGCACGCTGACGTCACGGGGCTGTAATGGTGGTGTGCCTCGAGATTTTTTTCATGAAACAAGTGTGCCTTTGCCCAAAAAAGGTTGGGAAACTCTGGTTTAACCCACAGTGCCACCCGCATCCCTAATCTGTTATGTAGTTTTAAGGAAATTGAAAATATTCAATATTTTGTTAAAAATATATATATACCTTTCTTTTTTTAAGTGGGACCTAGATGGGGAGATCCAGTATCACAACAAGGGACATGAAATTATCCCTCTTCCACCCCTCTCCCCGGAATATTTTCCTTGTCTTCTGTTCCAGAATTTCTTCACTGCTACTGTGATGCCACCCTCCCACAATGCTTTGAATGATTGGATGGGGCTAATGACAGGCCCTGGAAGCAGATCCCCAAAATCACCACTGCAAGACACAGGCAAAACCTGCCTCCTAGTGATCATGAACGAGCAACCCTTTTATTAGGAACAGTTGGTATCATTCTGCTAGAATATTGGAACAACCCACTGGTACAGCCCGAGTGCACCTGGCCTGCTTGTTCCTTTGCAGGAGGAAGCATTTATAGATGTCTCGCTGCCTTTGCCACTTCCTCCTCCCTTCCATGTTTCTGGCACAGGTGTTCATCAGAGCAACCACAGACCTAGTAATCTTCCTTCACTGCAGTGAACACTCAACAGCCCACCAATCATTAAAACGGCATGTAGATGTCCAAAGAAAATAGAACAAGCATATGCAAGGATCTAGCTTTCGTCTGGCTGCCCATCTTCCGCTTTTAGGTTATCATTCAATTCTCTGCCTTTATCCATTTTCCCTAACGAGTCATGGGCTTAAAGCACAAAGCAAAAGTAGATCAACACAAATTTCATTGGAAGGCAAAATAAGTGGATGTTGTTGAAGCTGCTGAAAATTGGGCTCCAATCCAAACGTTGTCTGTTCACATCAAAAGTAGCATCCAGCCCTTTCAACAGGGCTCAGATCAGCATCATGTTGTGGATGGGAATGTGTGCCAAGAAGCACATTTATATTGGCAACTGCAATGGGTATGAAAGAAAGACCAGAGGTCATGCGGAATATTCAATCTCTCCTGCCAGATTGGGGCATTGGAGCTTTCTTTCTTAATCCTTTTATTCACCTGTGATATGGCGGCATATGACAAGATAAAAGTAATAGTATCTTCCAAATTCAGTGGTAAGAAGACACTGGGTGTCATTTGAATACCTGATTTCCTACACAGTGTGCCAATTGTTTTATCATAACTAGGTCCAACATTTGATTAAAGCCATCAACGTCAATTAGTAGTAGGGGTTTAAAACCTCTATATATGTTCCATTCATTTCAATGGGACTTATCCTTAGGAAGGTACGAGATTGCCGCCTGAATTACTAGCAATGCAGTCCTATGCATGCCTGTTCCGAGGTGAAGTCCTTTTGAATTCAGTGGGGTTAAGTCCCAGCTTAAGTAGGTCTTGGTTTTCCTCCTTGCAATGGTTGAAATCCACACTCGGCGATGCAGCTCACTGGACTAAGCACAGTCTCTCAGTCTGACCTCCCTCACGGGTTTGTTGTGAGGAGGTGGGGAAAACATGGGGGGTGTATAAATGTTAATAACAAAACAAAAAAAAATGAAGTCAACTATCATTCTGAAGTCAACTATCATCGGTTCCCAGTATGTTTCCAAGCACAATTCAAAGTTTTGGTGTTGACCTTTAAAGCCCTAAACGGCCTCGGCCCAGTAGACCTGAAGGAGCGTCTCCACTCCCATCGTTCTGCCTGGACACTGAGGTCCAGTGCCAAGGGCCTTCTGGCAGTTCCCTCACTGCAAGAAGCAAAGCTACAGGGAACCAGGCAGAGGGCCTTCTCGGTAGTGGCGCCCACCCTGTGGAATGCCCTCCCACCAGATGTCAAAGAGATAAACAACTACCTGACATTTAGAAGACATCTGAAGGCAGCACTGTTCTGGGTAGTTTTTAATGTGTGACATTTTAATGTATTTTTAATCTTTGTTGGAAGCTGTCCAGAGTGGCTGGGAAAACCCAGCCAGATGGGCAGGGTACAAATAATATATTATTATTATTATTATTATTATTATTATTATTATTATTATGCAGAGTTGGTTTCCAGATGGAGCACGCACAAATCACAACAAGCACCATCTTAAAAGAGACACCCTCCCCTGCTAAAATGGTGCCTGTCATTTGTGGCTTTGTAAAAGCTTGTTCTTAAACAAACTTTCCAAAAAGTGAAATTTGCCCCTTGAAATCTGCTGCCCGTGCAATCAATTAATCAGAGGCACATTTTAAAAATAACATTCAAAAGGTTTTTAATCAATTGTTCCAAATGATTAATCAACTATACATTTTGGCCCTAATTGCAACGGTGCTTTAATAATTTTTTTTTCAAGTAAAACATGTCAGTGTCTGTGCATATGGTTTGGGCTACTTTAGATCTACAACCACAGGCCTGTTGATAAAGAGAGCTTCCTAAACATCACTTCAAACAGACATGAACCGGGATAAGCTTTGAATTGCAGCATTGCCATGCAAACTTACTCTTCTGGTTCTTGTGTCAAGAGAATTCTTTGGATTCCTTTTATGGTGAAGCATAAACCAGATTTCCTTTCCTCTCTCCAAATGATTTTAATTTCTCCTTGCACATGCTCGAGTTCACACAATGTGTGTAGAGGTTTGCAATGGCAGTTTGTCCTACTTGATGACTGCATTACTCCTTAATTGTAAAGAGAGCATCAAAACCACATGGTCTTGGTGGGCTGCTACCAAACACTCGTCTTGTAAGCAGTAGCCTGTCTAGCAGCATTTTTTGTTTTGTGTTAAGTAAGAACACTTGCCAGAAAAAGATGTCATGGGAAATCTCCAAATGTGTAAACGCTGCCCAGCCATACATGAAGAACCCTACATTAATTGAATTAGGATCCGCCCACCCGTTATTTTTATTTCTTGGTTGAAAATAGAGGCACATTTTTAAAATAACATTCAAAAGGTTTTTAATCAATTGTTCCGAATGATGAATCAACTATACATTTTGGCCCTAATTGCAACAGTGCTTTAATATCAGGCATTGCTGAAATAATATGAAAAATGTAATAGCAGTCTTTCAGACTTACCCTTTCCATTTCCTTGAAATCCTCATCTAGCTTGGTTCCTTCTGCTCCACCAACCTTCTCACTCACTTTCTGCAAACAAAGAAAAGCAAAACAAGATAAACCCAGGTGGAACTGATAAGCCAGAAGGAGCTCTGATATGAGACTTTAATTCCCAGCGTAGAATGCCTTTCCTTGAAGGAAGCAAGGATGGAGTGATTTTTAAAATTATTATTAATTCCATTTATATGCCACCATTTATCAAAAGCTCCCAGGGTGGTGTACAACTTTAAAAACACATTACAGAACATGACAGAAACATAATAAAAAGCATACTGACAGCACAGCCTAATAATAAAGTAGTTATTATAACAGCAGTCCTCTCCCCCACACTTTCACAGGCCGTAGGTTATTTAATAGCCATAGGCCTGGGTAAAGAGGAATGTTTTTGCCTGGCACCTAAAGACATGTAATGATGGTGCCAGGCGAGCCTCTCTGGAGTGAGCATTCCACAATTGGAGAGCCACCGTAGAAAAGGCCCCGTTCTCTTGTTGCCACCCTCCAAACCTCTCTAGGAGGGAGGGGCATAGAGAAGGGCTTCAGGTGACAAGTCAGTTCAGGTCCAGGTCAGTTCATATGAGGAGAGGCAATCCTTAAGGTATTGAGGTCCTGAGCCATGTAAGGCTTTATAAGTCCACACCAGCACTTTGAATTGCACCTGGAAACTAAGCCAGTACAGTTGTGCCAGGATTGGTGACGGTGATTGTTCTTAAGCATCATGATTTTGTTTGCAAGCCAGAAATACACTTTTGTCACCATCAGGCTTAATAATGAACAGAATCAGGATACAGTGGTGCCTCGCAAGACGAAATTAATTCGTTCTGCGAGTTTTTTTGTCTTGCGAATTTTTCGTCTTGCGAAGCACGGTTTCAAAAGAAGTTTTGGAAAAGCTTCAAAAATCACCAAAGTCTTCAAAAACCTCAAAAAAGGCTACCACACCGTGTGCAACTGCACCTCTTCAAGCAATGCACCCTGGGTATTAACGGTTTTAAGAAAAAGGAAACAAACTTGCAAGACGTTTTCGTCTTGCAAAGCAAGCCCATAGGGAAATTCGTCTTGCGAAGCAACTCAAAAAACCAAAAACCCTTTCGTCTTGCGAGTTTTTCGTCTTGCGAGGCATTCGTCTTGCGAGGTACCACTGTATCTTCCTGTAAAGGATTTATGCAAGGCCTGGAAAAAAGCACGAGACCATAGCTTTAGAGGTTTCAAAAGGCATTCTATGCATGAAATCCACACTCACAACGGATTTCAAGGAAGACTTCCAAAGCGGGCGATAGTGTATACTGGGCTTCTTTAGACAATCTAATTATATCACTTGATGACATGGAGCTGGACCAGAACGGCTCTAAAAGCAGAGCATCAAGGTGATCTGAATCTGACCATTTTAGCTGAAGAAGTTGATGCTGAATTTTTCCAAAAAACAACCACCCCCACACACCTTAAAATGGTAAAATGCTGAGTAATGATGGTCTAACTTAAGAGTTAACGGACATTTAGCAGATATCTGAGTTCCTCATCTTTCACTTCTGCTTAATTCTATCCTGGATGGAAGTGTTATTCCTGCTTCTTGGAAGCAATCCAGACACAGTTGTTGCACCCCAAGCCAGATAAGGACCCTCAATCAATGAACTTGTGCAGCCTGTTTACGTTGATAAATCATGATGTATAGATCTTTTTTGGCAGCAACATTAAGTGAGAAAACCATTTTCTTGATAATGATGACAAACAAGATTTAATCAGTTCATTCTGAAATGCATAAATAATGGTCTTTATGCCCACCCAGCAATTCAGTCAGGAGGGCACTGAATGTGGTCTACCATGGTGCCCCCAAACTAAATCCTAAATGCTTCTAATCCAATTAGACATCTTCAAGCTTTTGAGCAGTTTGAATGGAACTTCCTTCTAAGATTACTTTGGAGACAGTTTTTTAAAGCAGTTATTGCCCAGCTATATCCACCTCAAGTCTGCCTGCACAGGGGAATAAATCAAGGGTGTTCACTATCAGCTCTTCTTTCCAGAATAGTTATAGAAACATTTGCAGAATCAGGACGTACTAATCTGAAAGTGAGACGTGTTACAGTCATTGGTAAATCTTGTTGGAGTTGGTATGCTGCTTCCTTCAGTAATTTGAGAGATGTCCTGCCAGAAACATACTGAATTGGCTACTGGCTTAGAGATTTACTGTATTTTTCGCTCTATAAGACGCACTAGACCACAAGACTGGTTTTTGGAGGAGGAAAACAAGAAAAAAATATTCTGACTCTCAGAAGCCAGAACAGCAAGAGGGATCGCTGCACAGTGAAAGCAGCAATCCCTCTTGCTGTTCTGGCTTCTGTGATAGCTGCGCAGCCTGCATTCGCTCCATAAGATGCACGCACATTTCCCCTTACTTTTTAGGAGGGAAAAAGTGAGTCTTATAGAGCAAAAAATACGGTATTTGCCAAGTCAGAAACATTTTGCCTAAGCATCTCTCTTAAAACACAGAAAGAGCAACAGGAATTATCAAGCCTTAAATTGTTGCTAAAAATGTTTAGAACTGATTATCATGATTTGAAACAGCTTAAGAGGCAAAACTTTGACACCCCCCCCAATAAAACAGGATATTCAAAATTGGAGACTGTTAAAACTTTTCTTGATTAAGAGAGATTGGAGTGCTTAAACTGATGGCTATTCCCATGTTTTCTTTCCTGTTTCAAGTGCTACCGGTTTAGTTTGCAGAATGCTTTGCACATGGAAACCGAAAGTCAAGGTTAAGAGCAGGATTTAGCATCATTATAATACATCTCAGTCAAAATAACTATTTGCAATAGCTAGAAATGAAAAATTAACCCTGTGGGTGTCAATTCCAGCTACTTTCCCATGTAATCTATTCTTTTTGCCAATGACATGGATTATATTTAACAATATACGTAACCCCTTCCCCTGATGTCTATTATTATCATCATCATCATCATCATCATCATCATCATCATCATCACTACTACTACTCAGCCTTGTTCCCTGACATGGACTCAGTGCAGGTTACAGATAAAATAATAACAGCTAAAAATGTAGAAAAAATGCAATGATTTTAAAAAATGATTCTCTGCCTCCTCCTCCTCATCTCCCTCTCCCTCTCTCTCTCTCCCCCCCCCTCAAAAACATACAAATAATTATAATAAAAACCAGCATGGCACCAGCCCTTTCACTGAAAGCAGCCAGTCCCCCAAAGTCTGTTGGAATAAGGAGGTCTTCACCTGCCAGTGGAAGGACAGCAAGGAGGGAGCCAGTCTGGCTTCTCCAGGGAGAGAGTTCCAAAGTCTGGGAGCAGCTACCAAGAAGGCCCTGTCCTGCATCCCTACCAAGCATATCTGTGAAGGTGGCAGGGTAAGAGAAGTGCCTCCCACAAAGATCTCAGAACCTGGGCAGGTTCATAAGGTCTTTCAGATAGCTTGGACCTAAACCTATAAAGGGCTTTATAAGTCATAACCAGCGCTTTGAATTGTGCCTGGAAACAGGCCTGAATGGAGATGGAGAGATCTCTGTTGTAGAAACGTCTGATTTTTGCACAGTTTGCGTAAACCCTACTGTATAAAGGTAAGAGTTCCTCTATTGTTCCACCCACCTTTGTGGTCTTTCTGACCGCAAAAGGTTTTCCCATCCCTGTACCATCCCATATCCATATCCATATCCATATCCATACACACCTGTCCATTCAGCATCATGTTTTTTCTCACTCTTGCAAATAGAAATACACACAGAGAGAACAGTGTTAATCCTCTATGCTAATGGGTGACATTTGCCACGCAATTACCTAGAAGGAATACAAATAACTTCTTATTGCTTGGGCTTTATCTCTCATATTGAAATTGAAAAGCTAAATGAGACTACCGCCAGGTGACAAAAGCTCTGCTTGAAATCGGAGTGTGAGAAATTAAGACGCCGTGAGAATGGGTTATTACAGTCAGGGTTGGCTGGCTGGTGCTTGATGTTAAGCATAATAGTTGCATAAATATATGGCTTTATTAAATGCCAATCCACATCTTCGCTTTTCTTTGCGAAGGCCTGTTGCAAAGAAGAAGGTGCTTTCAATTCCTTCAGCCCTGAAGAGCTGTCTTGCTAAGGGTGAGCAATATGTGGCAGATGGAAAGAATTCTGCAGTTCTAGATACCAGCACCAGTTTCCCTGGGATGAATTTAAGGCTGTTTGGATCTGGAGTGCCCCATGTCTGAATAAACATAAACCTCACGAAATAAATAAGAAAATAAAAAAATTGTCCAGTAACACCTTAGAGACCAACTAAGTTTGTTCTGGGCATAAGCTTTCATGTGCATGCACACCTCTTCAGATACACTGAAACAGAAGTCACCAGACCCTTATATATAGTGGGAGGGTGGGGTGGGGTTTTTCTCAGGAGGGTAGTGGGAGATGGGTAATTGACTCAATGGGTATGGTAAACCTGTTGACGACTGTTAACGACTGCAATTAGTCCTAGAGGAAAAACAGTCGCCAACAGGTTTACCGTACCCATTGAGTCAATCACCCATCTCCTACAGTGGTACCTCGGGTTACAGACACTTCAGGTTACAGACTCTGCTAACCCAGAAATAATACCTCAGGTTAAGAACTTTGCTTCAGGATGAGAACAGAAATCGTGCTCCAGTGGCACAGTGGCAGTGGGAGGCCCCATTAGCTAAAGTGGTACCTCAGGTTAAGAACAGTTTCAGGTTAAGAATGGACCTCCAAAACAAATTAAGTTCTTAACCCAAGATACCACTGTACTACCCTCCTGAGAAAAACCCCACCCCACCTTCCCACTATAATGGTCTGGTGACTTCTGTTTCAGTGTATCTGAAGAGGTGTGCATGCACACGAAAGCTTATGCCCAGAGCAAACTTAGTTGGTCTCTAAGGTGCTACTGGGGGGACGCGGGTGGCGCTGTGGGTAAAACCTCAGTGCCTAGGACTTGCCAATCGCATGGTCGGCGGTTCGAATCCCCGCGGCGGGGTGCGCTCCCGTCGTTCGGTCCCAGCGCCTGTCAACCTAGCAGTTCG